TTTAATTTCCTAATATTTGGGGATTTCCCACATCTTTCTGTCATTGATTTCTAGTTTATTTCTGTTAAAGACAAGGGTATTCTTTTCAATTGGGCACGGTTTCTACTACAGCCCAGAACATGGTTAATCTTAGTGAATGTCCCATGTGCATTTGAACAAAAAAAAATGCAGTAGGGATGCCTGGGTGGCTCAGTCGGTTGAGCATCTGCCTTCCGCTGGGGTCATGGTCCCGGGGCCCTGGGATCCAGCCCCATGTCCGGCTCCCTGCTCAGGGGTAGTCTGCTTCTCCCTCTGCCCCTCCCCCTGCTCATGCCCACTTTCTCTCTCAAATAAATCTTTTAAAAAAAGAAAAAGAAAAAAATGCAGTATTCAGCTGTTGTTTGAGGGATTACTTTATAAATGTCAGTTAGGTCAAGTTGGTTGATAGTGTTCGGATCTTCTGTATCTTTGGATGATTTACTGTCCATTTGTTCTATGGATTACTGAGAGAAGAATGTTGAAGTTTCCAAAGATAATTGTGGATTTACTTCTCCTTTCAGTTCTACCAATTTTTTTTCTCTGTTTTTAAGACTGGGTAATTTCTATTGACTTATCCTCAAGCTCACTGTTTCTTTTCTGTGTCATCTATATTCTACTGAGCCCATGTACTGAGTGATTAAAAAAAAAAAATTATATTATACTTTTTAGTTCTAAAATGTCCATTTAGTCCTTTTCAGTATTTTATATTTCTCTGCTAAGAATCTATACCTTTCCATTTGTTTCAAGAGTGTTCATCTTTACCATGGTGGTTGTTTTGTCTTCCCTCCCCAGTCTGCTTGGTATTATTTACTTTTCAGAGTTCTCAGGTAGTTGCTTGAGTACTTCGTTCAGTTTTTAGTGTAATCAGTGGGAAAGAGGCTACAGTGAACTTACTCCATCTTAGCCCAATAACAACACTCTTAAATAGAACTAGTAGGATACCCACTAAGTGAAATGTCAACCTCATGCTAAGGTACATCACTCTGCTTATAAACCCATCATAGTTTCTTCAGAGCTCCTGCCAATTAGGGGTTATGGGAAACCAGAAGTTTACAATCTTATTGTTTAACAGGAAAAAAAAAAAAAAAAAAAAAGATAAAAAAATTAACATGTTGCAAATTTTTAGAAGTCCATAATGAAATACTGCTGAGTAGAAAAGCAGAACAACACGAGAAGGGGCTACTTATCTCTTATAGAAAATTAAGCTAAGGGGCACCTGGGTGGCTCAGTCAGTTAAGCATCTATCTTCCGCTCAGGTCATGATCTCAGGGTCCTGGGATCGAGCCCCATGTCAGGCTCCCCACTCAGCGGGGAGGCTACTTCCTCTCCCTCTGCCCCTGCTCTGCTCTCTCACTCACTCTCTCAAATAAATAAAATCTTTTTAAAAAAAAAAAGAAAATTAAGCTAAACGTAAAGAAAAAAAAGAAGGAAAGGTGCTTTTTCATCAATCATAAGAGGTAAAAACTAGTGAGCATAATCAAACAGGAACAGAAGAAGCAAAAAAGCTGAATGAGCCTCTAACTTCTTTCAACTTTAATTTCCTTTTTCTACAGAATTACAGCATGAGTCTAAGAGTCTCTTTCAGCTTTCAAATTCTGTAAACCTCTATCTTAATTCAAAGTAACAGGAAAGTCAATTCTTTTGCATAATCTATTTCAAGAGAAAGTAATGTCAAGAAAATAAAGGGAGACTAAATTTCTTCATAGGAATAATAATCTTTCTGAAGTGGTGAGTCAAGACTTAATTTAGTCACCATAAATTATGGTTGCTGTATTCATAATCCATATATATTATATGATGGTTCAATACAGTATATTATGGATGTTTTATAGATATGTTAAAGGTGAGAAAACCTACCATTTTTACACTGAAGGAAAGCACAGTTACTGAACCCTGACCTCTACAGTCTTGGTGTTTTCCATGTCCAGCTGTGGGGGTACGCAGCCATATTCCACCTCATCAGAGTCCTCCCCCATAACTCAGCTTCCCTCTGGGAGCTGCAGACAGGACAGGGGATAACAAGGCTGTGGGCTCCTCTGCCAGGTCAGTCATAAGAGTTTTGTTGCAGCTGGGAAGGAGGGAAGAAGAGATATCCCTAATAGTAAGAGATAATAACCAAGCATTAACTAAATTATAGGTTCCTCAATTTACCATTAATTAATTCACAAAGCATTTTTTGAGCACTTATAATTTGCCAGGCTTAGAGATTTAGAGAAGAAGATCCCAGCCTTCAAAGAGTAATAGTCTACTGGGGAGTCAGGCATGCAGATGGTGAGACTATAATTATAATATATCATATCAAATTCTCTTGTTGAGCCTGCTGTAAGTCACCTCTGCTGTGTGCTTTGGGCTATCAAACTGGATATTTGTTATATTTACTTGTTCTGGTTAATGCTTCTCATATATGTCCCACCAGCACCTTACTCAAGAAAACAGTCAGGTAACTGGTTCAAGTTCAGACTTACAACATCTAGATGTGTCATCTTGAGCATGTTACTTAATTTCTCTGGGCATTATTTTCCAATTTATAAATGAGAGAGATGGACTAAACTGAATATCTAAGGTTTAACATGTCATCTTCCTTCTGACTATAATGTCACTTTTTACAAATCCAGCATCCCTTACTATCCTAGCTCCAAACCTGAGGGCCCCATCCCTCCAGGTCAGTCCCTACGTCTTTCCCAATTGCCCTCATTTTCACTCCTGGCTTCAACACTATACCATGCCCACAGAGGTATATGGTGTAAAATCATGGGAAGGACATGAAGTCAGGCAGGCCTGGCTCAAGACTTATTTGCTGTGCAATTCTTTCTTTTTTTTTTCTTTAAGATTTCTTTATTTAAGAGAGAGAGAAACCCAAGCGGACTTCTCGCTGAGCGCAGAGCCTGACGCAGAACACAGTCTCATGACCCTGCGATGAGCCTGAGCCGAAACCAAGAGCTGGACTCTCAACCAACTATGCCACCCAGGCGCCCATGCTGTGTGATTCTAAGTTAATTATTTATCTTAAAAGCCTTGGTTTATTCATCTGTGAAATGGAGGATACTGCCTCCCTTTTCCCCTTCCATTATCATCTTGTCATGTATTTCAGCTTTCCCTCCTCCCTTATCATGTTTTAGCCAGCTCTATCTTCCTTATGTGCTGTTTTTACCTGTTCTTCCCTCCTATTCAGAAACCCTAAGTGACTCCCTACTAATTAAAAACTCTCAGGCTTGACCTGGCTTAACCCAACAACACCTCCTGCTCTCAGGACAGAACTCCCCTTTTTAGTACTGCTGGTTTCCTCACTGAGGTTCACTTCTGTTCCCTTACCTTCCCCTTCTGTCCAGGTCAATTTCACCCACCCGTTGGTCCCACCTCTTGAAGAAAGTTTTCCCTGACCACTCCTGAAAAAGGATTCCTACATTTTCCTTTCCTTTCCTATCCTTTCCCTTCCCTTCCTTTCCCATCCCTCCCTCCCTTCCTTCCTCCCTCTCTTAGTTTCACCTTTCCTTCCTTCCTTCCCTCTTTTTAGGATTCCTACATTTTTCTTAACAAAGGTATGCCTGTCTCCTTGGACCAGTTTTACACCTTACTCATATTCTTTCTTCTCTATATCATTTCTCGCTGCTTACAAGGGCCTCAGAAGACTAAGGGCTGGTCTCCACCCAAGTTGCATATATTGGCCAGTAGAGGCAGAAAAACAAAAGGACATGTGTGATGTCAACCTGGACAACCAAAGACTTCAACATTCCAGCCTGTCAGGGTTGCCCCAAATTTGCCTTTAAAATTCCAAGAAAGACACTGGAGGGTGATAGGTAATAGCTTAACTACACCTAGGGACCAGCTATATGCACAATGTGGTTCTTCTAAGCCTTGTCAAGCCACAGCCTTGAAACAACCATGTAAAAGCTTAAGGGTCAACATCATGAATTTAGAAGGGCATTTTTCGTAGTTAAGAAGGATATCCCCTAGACTATGATCTCCTTGAGAACAGGATCATGTTTTATTCAAAACAGTATCCCTAATAACCACACAGGGTCTAGTAAAAAGCTGATACTTAGTGTTTCATTCATTCTCAGTGAATGAATAATTGACTGGCTATTGGACTGTGTTAAAAAGTAGATTGTTGAGACCATTCCTCAGGTATTTATTTATTTATTTATTTATTTTTTTAAGATTTTATTTATTTGCGAGAGAGAGAATGAGAGACAGAGAGCATGAGAGGGAGGAAAGTCAGAGGGAGAAGCAGACTCCCTGCTGAGCAGGGAGCCTGATGTGGGACTCGATCCCGGGACTCCAGAATCATGACCTGAGCCGAAGGCAGTCGCTTAACCAACTGAGCCACCCAGGCGCCCATTCCTCAGGTATTTAAAAATCAAGACAGAGCCATCCTTGTCTTGGATTATACAGGAACAATTCTATCCAAAGGACGTGGAATAGATTCTCAAGCAAATGATATTTTGCCTTCTTTGATGTAATAGGAATACTGAGAAAGGTCAGCCCTCTCTGGCTAACTTAAGTTATCCATTTTTCCATCTCTCCTGGTACTGTCATACCTACTCCACGAACTTGAAAATAGATCTAGGGAGAGAAATGCCCAAGCATCATGGTATTTTTTTTGGACTCACCCTCCCTGTTGTCTCATTCATCTGTCTTGCGTCCAACAGAGCTCCATTGCCTGTTTTCTTATCTGTCTAAAATCTTTTCCTAATGGAATTTAACTGGCTTTTGCTCAATTCTAAACAAGATGAAAGTAATGGTAACAGGATTTGGCAAAGATTAAACACTGAGAGTATAGTCTGAGAAAAAAGGTCCCCAACCCTCTTCAATCTACAGACCACTTCAATGACATAAGATTCCACGGTCACCCCTAACATTGCCAACCACATCACACATCAGAATCAATGGAAAGACTGTGCGGCTTTTGATGGAGTGCCAATGAGGCAATGGTCTAACATCTCTTATGTTCCTTACCAGATTATTAATTTTTGCTAGAAGCAAAAGTACAGTATTACACAAAATTACATGATCTGTAATCAGCATTCATTCAAAAGAATGACTGTCATAGGACTACACAGTCAATTCCAAGATTCTGATGGTTCATTTGAATATTTTCCTTTATAAATTATACCACTCCAACTTCCAAAAGGAGGACTGAAAGAATTCAGGATACATATACTCTCAGAAGCCATGAGGAGCCACAGTTTGCACAAAGACAAAATAAACAACTGAATTTTTCTGGCATCGTTAATGAAAACAGCTGTCCAATTAACCTAACAGTAAGTGAACTATGTACCAGGCAGGTTCATATATATTATCCATCTCACCTTCATAATAAACCTAGTATGGCTATTATTCTTGCTGTCATCTTAAAACCGAGGCTCAGGGAGAGTAAGTAACTTGCTCAAGGCGTCAGCACTAGTAAGTAGCAGAGGAGAACTTTGAACTCAGGGCTTTCTGACTTCAAACCTTCGCATTTAAAACATTCAAATATACTGGCCCATGGTCCCGTCACTGAAATCATGAATAAAGAGTTGAACACTGGATACCACAGAGAATGTGAAAAATAAAAGTGACCCTTAACTCTCACATCACACAAAAAAATTAACTCAAAATGGACCACAGACCTAAATGCAGGAGCTCAAACTATAAAAACTTAGAAAAAATCAGGAGTAAATCTTCATGACTTTGGGTTAAGTTAGGCAATAGTTTCTTAAGCTATGACAGTAAAAGCACAAGCAATAAAAGAAAAAAAATTGATAAAAATTAATTTTAATCAAAATTAAAAACTTTTGTGCAGCAAATGATACCATCGAGAAAGTGAAAGGTAATCTACAGAACAGGAAAAAATATTTGCAAATCATATATTTGATAAGGAAACTATATCCAGAATAAAGAACTCTTACAATTCCATAATGACAAAATAACTCAGTCAACAAGTGGGCAAAGGCTGTAAATAGACATTTCTCCAAAGAAGATATACAAATGGCTCATAAGTGCATGAAAAGATGATCAACACAGTCATCAGAGAAAGAGAAATCAAAACCACAATGAGATACTACTTCACACTCACAGGAATGGATATAATAAAAAACACAGATAATAAGGAGGTTGGTGAGAATGTGGAGAAATAGGAACATTCTTTCATTACTGTTAAGAATGTAAAATGGTGCAGCCAGTTTGGAAAACGGCTTGGTAGCTCCCCCAAATTATTCAACAGAGTTACCATATGACCCAGCAACTCGACTCCTAGGTTTACATTCAAGAGAAACAAAAACATGTACACACAAAAACTTGACACAAATATTCACAGAACCTTTACTCATAATAACCCAAACAAATAGAGCAACTCAAATTTCCAATTGATGAATGGATAAACAAAATATGGTATATCCGTACAGTGGAGTATTATTTGTAATAAAAAGAAATGAAGTACTGATGCATATTATACATTCGTGAACCCAAAAAACATTATACTAGGTAAAAGAAGTCAGTCACAAAAGACCACATTATGTATGATTTCCTTTATATGAAATGTCTAGAACAGACAAGTTTACACAGACATAAGATTAGTGGTTGTCAAAGGCAAGAGGGGGTGGGGTGGGAATGATTGCAAACTGGGTTTCTTTTGGGGATAATGCAAATGTTTTAAAATTGTGGTGATGGTTACACTCTAAATACACTAAAAACTATTAACTAGTATACTTTAAGTGGTGAAATTTACGATAAGTGAATCATTATCTCAATAAAAATGTTAAAACAACAACAACAAAAAGGTTGGCCAGTGGTTATGAGACCATGAGAATCTTGCTCTGGATCACTCACATTCTAGATGTCCTCTTGGCACTGTTTATACAGCACAAACATATACAGGCAAGAGTCACCCTCCTCCACCTGGGTTGGGGGGGGTTAGTAAGCAAAATTATAGCACCTCCTCAGACAACCATCTGGTCAGTATTATGCAAGCTTTTGTTATTTCTGGAATGCATACTGCAATGTGCTTGTGCCCTAACCTGCTGGTTGGGCCCATGAAGCCTGCAGCTGGATAGAGCTCAGGGCAGCAGTCCTCCTGTTTGCTGAGTGAGCAGGAAAGGGACCTAAAACTGCAAAGCAGAAAGCTCATAGCACAGCTCAGAAAATTTCCTTGTGACAAAACATATGCACAAAGCTGAGCAAACTCTTCCTCACTCCTGAACTCCTCCCTTCCTCCTACCCCCAAATAGAGTCTGCTATTCTAGGTCAACATACTTTAAATATAGGTGCATTATGAATCAGCTAGAATTATATAATGATCAAGCAGGAAGGACCTTTCAAAGTATTATGTAATGGAGCAATGACTCTGAAGCCACTTACTGTGTGACCTTGGGCCAGTTCCTTCACCTTTCTGTGTCTCAATATCTTCATCTGGAAAATGGGAATAATAAAGGCAACTGCTTCTTAAAATTGCCGTGAAGATTAAATGAGATAATCCATGTAAAATGTTTAGAATAGTGCCTGGAACATTATTGAGTTACTACTTTTATAATTACTAACTGGTAAATCTCATCATTTTTATGGAGGAAGATGCTAAGCTCAGAATGATAAAGTGACTCTGAAGCTGGCAGTGACAGAGCTGCTATCAACTGATTCCTCAACTAGCGTTCTACTGTAGAGCATTAATTTACAACCGAGCATGTATAATATTCCCTGACCAACTTTTAGGGCTTGAAAGATACAAATAACAAACACAATGCCTAGCTCTGGGTCTCACACAATATAGGTATTTGTGAAGTGTCTGATCCTTTCCCTTTCATTCCAGGTGTAATCTAATATTTGAAGAGAGGGCTTGACACTAAATCCCAGAATGTCCAATGTTCTGATGCTTAAAAAGTGGGATGGCTCAGGGCTGTTGAAGAAAATACACATACGCTCTTGGTTTCTCTCTCGCTTTTTTTTCTTTTTCATTTTCCTTTTAAGGAGCACAGGGTACCTGAGTATAATACCTAGTGTATTAGGGAAAGGGACTGCTTGTATTTCTGTATTTTAGCACTACACTCATGTAAGCAATTAAGATGCTACTCTCGGGCTTTGATGATGCTTCCAACTTTCAGTAATTGATACCTACCAGTTTAATTCAAGAGGCAAGAGAAACTCACAAAATAAATACAGTATTTAGCAAAATACAATAAATGCAATCAAAGTAAGCTTTTAAACAATCTCATCATTTCTCTCTCTTTCACACACTCCAACCACTCCACGGTGTTTCTAACAGCGTAAGAGACCCTGCAGGGGCCTATCAAGCTTCCTACCCACCCCTGCAGCCTTGTTGGAGGCTTAGCCTCACTCTAAACTCTGCAGCCATGTGGGTCTTTCCTTTCCTCACTCACCTGTCTCTATCCCGCCTTGGGGCCTTCATAGTGACATTCCCTGTAGCTAAAAATTCTTCGTTGCAACCTCCAGTTGCAGCTTTGCCTTGGCCTCACTCACTTCTATTTATCCTTTAGGCTCTGCTTAAATCTTTTCTTCAGAGAAGCAGTCCCCAATGACCCAAACTAGCTTCTCCCCTTCACCTTCCCCCAAATCACACACACTTGGAACATGTTTCTAAGTACTTATTCAACGAATGTCTTTCTCCCCCACTAGACTATAAGCTCAAGGAAGGCTGGGACTGTGTCCGTCTTACTCAATGTTGCTTGCCCTGTGGCTAACATAGTGCCCAGGATGCAGTAGGTGGTAAGTGAAATTAACAATATCCTCCAAACAGTCAAAGGATCAGCTAATAAACTGATTTCCTAACTTCTCCACTCAAATTTGACAAAAGGCTTCCCATATCAAGCTGTGGGCATGACAAAATTATACAAACAGGTATGATTTAGAGAAAAATTCAGATGAACACAAACTGGGGCTGGGATTATATATATTTTAAAATTATGACATATAAAACCCTAAGAAAAAATATTACTTTTAAAAACAAGCTTCATGGGGCACGTGGGTGGCTCAGGTCATGATCCCAGGGTCCTGGGATAGAGCCCCATGTTGCCCCCTGTTGTGTTGGGCTCCCTGCTCAGTGGGGAGACTGCTTCTCTCTCTCCTGCTCCCCCTGCTTGTGCTCTATCAAATGAATGAATAAAATCTTTAAAAAACCAAACAAACAAAAAAAACAAGCTTCAGAAAAGAAGAAGTAACAATGTTTTCATCAAAGCTTGTCATTAACAGTCACACTATGCTCTTTTGGGAGACTAACTCACATAGGAGGGTGAAAGAAACAAGAATGCATCTGTTCCTCCTAGGCTATACTGCTCCTTTCTGAAGTAAATTTATCTCCTAACGAAAGACAATGTGCTGAAACATAACTGTAAGTATATCCAGGAAAAGTACCCAGCGGTGGGATGGGCTTCTATGAACAGTGTGCCCACAATGAGGAGGCACCTGGGTCAAGGGAACAAGCAGCATGATATAAGGACAGCTGCCTCTGGCAATGGCTCCAGCCACCTTTTTTTAGGGCTTCCACCCTGGCACACTCACAGAATTGACTTCTCTTACTTGGGGCAGAAAAAAAAAAAAAAGAGAGACTTTTCCAACAGGACAGATGGTACAGACATCACATGATAAAGATTCCAAAAGATCCTTTTAGAGAAATTTTACTTTATTGAAGGATACATAAAAACAGGGGGAAAAAAGGCATTTCACAACAGGAAGCAGGTACTGTACCCAGAGACTAACCTTTCTATATAAAGGAGAAGGAGAGTAAGAAAGGTGAAGCAAAAAAAAAAAAAAAAAAAAAAGGTGGGGGGGTGGGTAGAAGAAAAGAACAATGAGTGTTCAGGTTGAAAGAAAAAAGTTAAATAGCATGTGTGATGGAAAGGGGTGAAAGACCAGGAACTAAATTTTACTCTAGGGCATAAGATCCATACATCTCAGGGCTTAGAGATACCTCAAAGGAAAAATTACCTGATCAAGCATGTTCCCTTTAGCTTAGTAGAGTGTTAACCAGCATCAGACATTCACCAAAGCCCAGCCACAAGTTATCCACACCCAATTTAATCCTCAACAGCAAAGGCCAGATCTTCTAAAACACTTCTCACTCAGTCTCTACTAATGATTATAAGAAAAATAAATAGAACTCACTTCTACCCACAGTTTGCCTAAGGAAGAGATTCTGGGTACACCCAACAGGTGCACTTTTGGCTGTGCTACGTAATCTCATCAAAGTCATTATGCCAACTGGTCCTCCCAGATGCATCAGTCCTTAAACCACCCCAGAGCACACTACACCACACTACAACATTTAAAAAACTGTTCTATCAAAGAAAGGATGGGACAATATCTCTCTCCCACTATAAGAGATAATGGGAATATTTCTGGTTTCAAATACACTGCTATTAAAATTAAGTGTCCAGCTCATCTTCCATAATAAAGTTTAGTTCCCAAAAGGTGCCTAACACAAGTTTCTAGCAAGCAGGCGGCTTTTACTAAACACTGGTTGCACAAATGAAAAAAAAAAAGCTCGTTCTGAATCATATTCACAGCTGGAGAACAGTTATGACCTTCCAAGATACGAAACAAAGTACTTCCACACATTGGAAAGGGGGCGGGGTACTATTTTTAAGCCATTCTGCTCAGAAGTGCAACGAAACAGTTGCCACGGTTTCATCTCATGGTAATTTCTGAGTCTGTAAAACAAAAAGAATGCTCAGTGAGAAAAGCAAAAACTGTGTACATACTTCGGCGCTTTGAAACTGTTGAGATGGAACTCTGATACCTTGGTCCGCACAGGTGACTCCGAAGGTGACAAAAGGGAAGTGTTTGCAGCGGGGACTTTGCTTGAAAAAGGACCTTTCACCTCTGGAATTCCAGCTCGCCTTCGGCATTCATTTGAAACCCTCCGACCTATCTGCTGGCCAGGCGAGACCGGTTCCTTCGCCAGAATTCGACAGACTCCCAGAAGACCCCACTGCGAGAGTCAGCGCCCCCCTCCCTCGGACACCGAGGCCATCCTGCCTTTCAAGTCCCCGCAAAGCTCAGTATTTCATAGCTTCCCTTGAAGTGAAAGGCCAGCTACGGCCCTCACCCAGCACCAACAAGGGGCTGTGTCCGTACAGCATGGGTGACACGGTCCTGTGAGAACAGCCCCCGGCCCGTGCAGGCCTCTCTGGCTTCAGGAGGGACCATGACCCCGACCCGAAGGACTCGCGTCCCGACGCCGCCCTCCGGCCGCTCAAACAAAGGACCCGGCGTCTGGCGCGCCCCCCACTCACCGCTCAGATAGTTGGTCCACTTGTACAGAACCCCCTCCATGGCGCCCGAGGTCCTTTGGTCCCCGCCGCGCCGGGGCCGTTTCCCCTCGCCCGCCGGCCCCCTCACTGCCCCAAGCCCCAGGAGGCGAGGAGCACCGGCAGCAGGGCCATCGCCCAGCGCTGCCGAGCCGCCGACTCCCGGCGCCCGGGCCCGGTGCGGGGACGCCCGGCCAGTCTCACATCCTCGGCCCGGGGGCGGGGTCACTGCGGCTGCCTCCGCACGTGAGGACGCGGCCGGCCGGGGGGCCCGCGCTGTGGAGCCGGCGCACCGTTCACAAGGAGGCCAAGGCACCCGGTGGGACCGAGTGGTGGCTGCAGCCTCCAAGTTGCCGCTGGCGAGGGAGCCGCTGGCCGGCGGCGCAAGAGCGAGCAACCTGAGAGTCCTCAGCCCGCCCGGCCCGGGGCCCCCTTGCGCATGCCCAATGCGCCGTCCGCGCGCACGTTCCCGAAATCCACGCCGGGGTTTGGCAGCAACCGCGGCGTTGGCGGCGACGGGGCCGACGCAGCGGGAGGGGCTGGCAGGGAAATTGAGTCCTGGGAGGCGGACTTGGGAGTAGGCGTTGGGTCTGAGGGAAGGAGGGCGATCCGTGGAGACCAGGGTGGGATACAGTCCTGACTGTTCATGGTACCGTAGATTGGGAAGAACCCACCTCTCGATGTTTGGGGGTGCCTCCTGCGTTCTAGTTCCCAGGGTCCAACTCTTATTTCAAGGCTAATTGATCCCACAAAATCGAGGTAGCCAGCAATAGAGCCTACGGAGTTGATAGGAATTTCACGATAGGATACTGTGCGGCTAGTAAACATGTTGTCTAAACCCTAAGGCCTCGCTACTGCAAGTATGATCCATGGACAGCAGCATTGGCCATCACCTAGGAGCTTGTTGAAATTGCAGGATCTCACCCCAAGCCCAGGCTTCCTGAGTCGAAATCTGTATTTTAACAAGATTCTCCGGGGGATTCCTAAGCATATTAAAGTGGGAGAAAGTACTGTGCTAAGGATATTTGGCCAGGGAAAATGTTAACAACAGATTCAGTGGAAAGAGCAGGTTACGAAACCAAGTGTACAATCTGGTCCAAATTATTTTAGTCATATGTCACAAAAGCATGCACCGAAAATGTTAAGGTGATTATTTGTAGATGGTGGCGCTATAGACGATCTTTTTTCCCCTTCTCTTTTTCTTTAGCATAAGACGGCCAGATTTAGCAAATAAAATACAGAACGATGAATTCGTTGTCTGAAATACGTATTTAGTTCGACTCCTGTATTTTAACCGGAAAACCTACTTTCGTGCTTTCCAATTTCTTCCAAATCGACTATAATGAATATGTTTTGCTTTTGAAATTAGGCAAAAGAGGTAAAGCTAATAATTTTAAGCTAAGATGAACCAATGTACCTTATAAGCGTGATTACTGTTTCTTTTTTAAAGTGGAGGTCTGTACGTCCTTATTCACGATAGAAGCTATCACTACGGTCACCACCTAAGTGATAAATTATTAGCAGCCATAACATTATGCGGTGTTGTAGAATGAATCAGACCTGGTTTGAAGGCGGAGCTCAACTGCTTTGAGGATGAACAACTTTAAGCGGGACACTTAACCTCTCCTAGCCCAGATACACTTATCACTTAACTGGGATTAAAGACCCTGCTTTACTGGCAGTGTTGTGGGGTTTACGCACGGGAACGGAACGCGCTTTGCGAACCCTACAGAACTACTGAAGTCTTTATCGGTTATACGGTAAATTAAATAATCGCAGTAGCAGGATTGTGGAATCCTGGGGGCGGCCTCTCAGCATCGGCCAGAGTAAACGAGTGTTTCCGGAAACCGCTACCCTTTCACCTGGCCCAGGACTCTTCCGCGCAAGCTAAGCCTGCATATTTTACAGATGTAAATCTGCCGGAGGCGTTTCCGGTGAGGTCCTCGCGTCCCTCTGTCCCACGAAGTCCGAGGTTGTGGAATACTTTAATCCGCCGAACTCTAGGACCACTCCCCGCGGTTCGCAGCGGGACTGGTGCCCGGCTCCGCCCAGCTGTAATTGTTGCAGCATCATTGGTTTGAGAGTCTCCAGCGGACAGCACCGCAAGCCAATGGGAAGCCGTCCTTCTCCGGCGGCCGAGCTGTGAGAGCCAGTGAGACCCGGGTTTGGAGTTTAACTCTTTATGGGTGGGTTCGCAGTGCGTGGGAAAGTTGTCGTGGTAAATGTGCCACGTCTACTAGGAACAGAGAATCATGAACGTGCCAGAGGCGGTTGTCCTTAAGGCTTCAACTACATTCTTAGCTCTATGAGGTCGGGGGCCCTTTCTCTGTTTTTGTAGGAACTTCTTTCCTGCTCCAGCAACATGAGGCTTTTCTTGTGCAACGCGGTCCTGACGCTGTTGGTCACTTCTTTGAGTGGGGCTCTGATCCCTGAACCAGAAGTGAAGATTGAGGTGCTTCAGAAGCCTTTCATCTGCCATCGCAAGACCAAAGGGGGGGATTTGATGTTGGTCCATTATGAAGGCTACTTAGAAAAGGATGGCTCCTTATTTCACTCTACGTAAGTAATTATACCTTGAAGGTAAAATAGTGAAGAACCCACCCACCTATGCCCGCTCTCGGGCAGGAAAGGTAGCCTGTACCAGGTTTTACCTCTCTTTTTAAAAACTGCAATATATTATTTCCTTCTTTGGGAAAGGAAATCGTTTAACGACAATCTTATATAACGGGGCCTTTGAAGTTCTTTTTGGAAACATGTGGTAAGGTTAAAGGGTTAATTTTTATTATAAAAAATAGCGCTAGAATCTTTGAAATACTCCAGAAATATCTAGATGCATAGTTAGGCAATACGTAGAAAAAAAAAAAAACTGAAAGGAATTCTCATTTTTCAAACTCCATTCCCAAGGGAAAATGACTCAATTCCATTTTTTATTTGGTGTAGGTGAAATTTACTTAAAACTTTTCACAGCGACTTCATGAGAAGAATACACAATCATTTATTTGCTTGTTGTAAGGTATACTAATGCTAGTCCATTGATCTAGTTAATCATTGTTCTTACAGATGACATTTTGGGCAAGGCACAGTACCATGATTTGTTTCATTATTTGTTTCTTTCTAGAAATTCAAAGACTTCATTGATGGGTGTGGGTGTGGTTATGGAAGATTAATCCAATACCTACAGTGAAGGATTTTCAGGTGGTTACACTATCATTTTTTTCTGTTCTATAAACAAAGAAATTGCAACGTGGAAAAGTTCTACAAGTGTACTGATTTCTAATTAGGCATTGATTCTCTTCATTCCATTCCAAAAGTATTTATTGACCATTTCTTTTATGTTAGGCCCTGTGCTTGATACTAGGGAGATTGAAAAATTGTGGCTTCTCCATCCTTGTCCATTCATTTATCTGTCCATCTAACAAACCCTTGTTGAGTGGCCACAAGTCAGGCCTTGAGGATGCAAAAGTGATTAAGAGTGCATCCTTGTCCTCCAGCAGTCCATCATCTACAGAGGAGAAAGACAAGTCCATAACTCATGCTGTATAGTACAGAATGTTCAAATGTTCACAAAGCATAATGGAGTCTGGAATTATTTATGCTCTGAGAGGTGGAGAAAGAGAAGACTTCCCAGAGATCATAATTGATGTGGGCCTTGAAAGATGGGTGGAGGGTTCCTTCCGGTCGAGAATGGGGGCAGAGAGGACATTCCAGGTAGAGAGAATGGCATGAACCAAAGTAGTGAAACTTTGTGGACCCTCCTAGATCTGGTTTTTGATGACCTGTCTTCATTGAGCATTCAGTCCTGGTATGTCTTTGGAGAAGTGAATGGCACCCTTCTCTGAACTCTGTTAGCCCTTCCGATTTCCAAAACAGTGGCTTGCCATAGAATTCTCAACAGCTCTATCTCCTTATCGACAAGGCCAGTGCCGCAGTGAACGTTAAACAGTATTAAGATTTGCGTTTTAAATTTTCAACCACATCTTTATTTTTTTTTTAAAGATTTTATTTATTTATTTGACAGAGAGAGAGACAGAGAGAGAGGGAACACAAGCAGGGAGAGTGAGAGAGGAAGAAGCAGGCTTCCTGCTGGGCTCTATCCCAGAACCCTGGGATCATGACCTGAGCAGAAGGCAAACACTTAAGGACTGAGCCACCCAGGCGCCCCTCACATCTTTATTTTTAGTCCGATGTTGACACAGCCTAATTTCTTTAAGGTCTCAGAATCTATGTGGACTTTGGTGGTAGCCATAAGACATTATTTGGCAGTTGGCTACTAAAGTTCTAGTACTTGATGAGGGGACTGTTGTCATGCGGCCTCAGTGTAAATGGTTAGAAACTGCTTACCCTGAGTATTGTGAAGAATTACCATCAAATGGTCCACTGTAAAGCATGTTTGCCATTTCTAGAACGCTAGCCTGTGTGGTAAAGAGCTTAAATCCTTTAGCTGTGACAAGAAAGAAACGTGTCAAAGCTGTAGTCAGCGCTGGGTGTCAGATTGTTTTCTTCCTTCTTTATTCTTTTCTAACCTTCCCAAGTCTTTTACAGTTGGTAATTTGTTTCTTTAGTCATGGGGGGAAATTAAGGAAAAGAAGAAATAATGGCCTTTACCTGGATTTAGTAACTAACCATAGTGCCCATGAAACCTAACAGAGTGATTTCTCTTTCTCACCTATAAGATATCTTTGAGAAAACTTTCCTTATTGCACTGAAAGGGAGCTATTTGGGGCTCAGGCACTACTCAGCCTGTAAACTCCCTAGTAGCTCACCAGCTAGGTTTCTTAGGCTGGCCTCTCTCCAGCTCATGAGCCAGGATACTTTGACTATTTCCTTTTCCCTCAGTCCAGGGGCCACTCCTCCAGGCTTCCCTGCAGAGCCCCCACAGAAGATGCCTGTGGCCAGTATCTAGGGGTTCAGGGTTGAAGAACAGCCTTTCCACCTGTCAGAGCCATCCCCAGGCTGTACATCAGGACAGTTCATGGGTAGGCTAGAAGGTGCTGTGTCCCTGACTGTCCAGTGTCCATATGGGTATGGACCCACATGTCTTGGCAGTAAATTCTCCTTAGCTTCTCATCTTCCTTCCCAAACTCTCACATTTTCCATTATTTTTTCCCTCTTCTGCCCCCTTAAGATTTTCCTGGAACAGCATCACTGTGGTTAAGACCTTGAACTTTGGAGTTGGATCAAATACTGGCACACTTAACCTCAGTTTCCTCCTCTGTACAATAGGGAAATAACGGTACTTACCTCAGATGATTATTGTCAAGAGTTAAAAGAAGCAAAGCATTGAGGGGAATACCTGATATACAATAAATCGCAAATAGTTATTAACTGTTTTTATTATTACTCCCTCTGCTCTTCTCTACCTGAGTCAATTGTGTGAAGTTTGTATCAAGAAATATGGGCAATGAATTACAAAATTGACTTGGTTTTGTGTGTATGTATATAGCTGTTTTTGTTAATTTCCAAATTGAATCACTTATGGGTGGAAAAAAATACACCACAGCAATAAAAAAAAAAAATAGAGTTTCTAAACAGTTCTAATGTGTTTTCTTTCTATTGTAGTCACAAACATAACAACGGTCAGCCCATTTGGTTTACCTTGGGCATCCTGGAGGCTCTCAAAGGTTGGGACCAGGGCTTGAAGGGAATGTGTGTAGGAGAGAAGAGAAAGCTCACCATTCCTCCTGCCCTGGGCTATGGAAAAGAAGGAAAAGGTAATAACAACTCTACATTTTTACTATAGCGTTGGAGTTCTTCTCTGGATTAGGAGACCGAAATCAGAGTAACTACTATGTGTTTTTTTTTCCCTAAAAGTAAGTAGAGGATGTGTATTTTTTTTGGAAGTATGATTGTGTCTTGATTATCATTTGAAATGGTCAAATTAAAGCCATCATATCTTAATAGTCAACTGAGCTAATGATAAGAAGTTCTGGAACCTTCAACTCTATCATTAACAATTAACCACCATATTAACCCAAATAATGGGTTTTTTTTAAAAAAATTGTGGCACAATACCCATAACATAAAGCTTACTACTTTAGCCATTTTTTTAAGTGTACAGTTCAGTGACACTCTGAACATTCACATTGTTGTACAAGGATCACCACTCTCCACTTCCAGAAATTTTTCATCCTCCCCAGCTGAAACTCATCAATTTATTTTAACAATGCAAAAAGAAAATTATTCAACAGATGTGTTTTGATAAGTTGAACATGTAAAATATAGATGATTAAGGCATTGAAGGAGGGTTAGATGTGGGCTGCTGGTGACTCAAAACTGAAGTTTTCTACAACAAAGCTTTTTTTTTGGAGGTTGTTTTCACTCTTGTTTTAAAGTTGTTTTATAACTTCTTTTATCATTCATGTATAAAAACGAATGGAGTGACATGAAATGAGTTTAATAAAACAGTAGCAAATGGGCTAGCTGATTCCAGGAGACTTTGTGCTAGTTTGTTGCAGGATGGGCATGCACACCTGCTGTTTGGGTGGAAAGGCTTGCAGCTTTCCATAGGGCTGTTTACAAGAGGCCAGATGATGTTTCCTATATAGGATATGTATGTGTCCTATAATTCCTCTCTAATTTAACCTAAGGGAATAATCAGGTGTCAGGAGAAAGATTTATGAACAGGGATGTCCCTTACTACATTGTTCCTAATAGCAAAAATAATTGGAACCAACTTCAGTGGATAATGAGAAGGCTTTAGCTAAATAAAATAGGCCCCAGTTATTTAAAAATGGCATTTCAAAGATTAAAAAATTATATCCAACTGTGTATGATATAATGTTATATATAAAATTGGAAAATAAAGCTATAGAATATGTAAGAGTAAGTATTAGAAAAAATTATATGCACATACAGAGTGAATCACAAGGATGTAATTAAGAATGATAACAATGGACGGCTGGGAATTATTTTTAAATGTTTTTTCTTTTAAAGGTTTTATTTATTTATTTGACAGAGAGAGAATGAGCACAAGCAGGGGAGAAGCAGAGGGAGAGGGAGAAGCAGAGTCCCCGCCGCTGAGCAGGGAGCCTGATGTGGGGCTTGATCCCAGAACCCTGGGATCATGACCTGAGCTGAAGGCAGGCGCTCAACCAACTGAGCCACTCAGGCGCCCCTACTGGGAATTTACTTTTATTTCTGGTTCTATCTCTTCCAAATTCTCTATAATGGGCATGTATTACATAATGAAGAAAAAAATTATTATTTTTTAAAGAGTTATTTATTTTAGAGAGAGAGAGAGTACACATGGTGAGTGAGTGGGGGGGGGGGGCGGGGCAGAGGGAGAGAATCTCAAGCAGACTCCCCGCTGAGCGCAGAGCCCTCCCCAGGAGTCGATCTCATGACCCAGAGGATCATGACCTGAGCCGAAACCGAGTGGGACAGTTAGTTGACTGAGCCACTCAGGTGCCCCGAAAAAATTATTAAGTAGTCATCAGAACCAGACAGGGAACCACTCATTCTGTAGAAGTATAGACTTCACAGTATCCCTAGGTCTAAGCTTAACCATTTACAAAGTGAGAATCCTAGCCCCAGTTTTCTGAGAAAAAAGTAAGTGCCATCTGTGAAGCATTGTATATTCTAAAATGGAACTTGCTATATAAATCTTATGCACAGAATGGAATTTACTAACCAAATTCAATTCTTATTTTAATAATCTCTTCAGAGAAGAAAATCAAGTATCTAGAAAATGTTTCTCTGATGTTCAAATGTATTCTTTTATCTTCCTGCTGTATCTTTATTGTCTCACCTATAATGTATATGTAGTATTAGTCCATTACTCTTTCTCCCTACTGTGTTTAACTCAATTTTACTTTATAACAAGTAGAGATCTAAATTTGAGTCATTTCCTCCAAAGTGAGAGCCATGAAATTAACTCTGCTAATGTGTATTAAACACTAATTTTGTAGTCTTTTGGTATCATGTTTGCATGTCTCCTTCGGAAAGACAACCAGTTTTGTCAACGACCTAGTGCATGCCCCTTCTCTGTCTAGATCTGGAGCGGTAAGCTTGGGCACACAGTGTAAGTTTTGTTCTCTTTAATATTTAACAAACGTTCTTTCATGGAAATATGTGGGATTTGGGTGTGGGGTGGTGGTGGTGGGACTAAGAAATATTTGTAATGTTTACCTAGACCTGTATGTTAAATATAGTATAAGGAAACAAGTTGAAAAAAATTGTTCATACTTCCCAGAAAGTTTTCTTTTTTTAAGGTCCCTGGGACTTTAACAAAGCTCTTTTCATTTTTACAGATTTTTATCTCCCTTCTGAGAAATTTGTTTTAATTTCTTCTCTAATGAAATTTCTTCAAAATGGGTATAATGTTCTATATCAGAGGGGGTGTTGCCTACCTTTCTGAAATTGTTGAACCTTTCTGTATTGTTTTTAAAGCCTGTGAGAGAATTATATCTTATTAACATATATTGAGAGCTCACTATTTATCAAGTATAATGCTAAGTATTTTGCATGGATTTATCTTCCTTCATCCTCCCAACAGATTCTGCATTTTACAGATGAGGAAATAGGCTTAACGAAGGGCCGGGGTAAGCTCTCACACTAGCTAGTAAGCTGGTATGACCCCAGATCTCACTTAGCTAGATATTGCCTCCTGGTGGTAGGGATGGCAGTACTGTATTTCTAGGTCAGGACTTTGGGTGACCCCAGAGTTAGTAAATCACTTGTACTCCCAACAGATTCTGCATTTTACAGATGAGGAAATAGGCTTAACGAAGGGCCGGGGTAAGCTCTCACACTAGCTAGTAAGCTGGTATGACCCCAGATCTCACTTAGCTAGATATTGCCTCCTGGTGGTAGGGATGGCAGTACTGTATTTCTAGGTCAGGACTTTGGGTGACCCCAGAGTTAGTAAATCACTTGTACTATAATTAACTCTGAATTATCTAAAGCCCTTTAAGTCATTCTTGGCATGTAATATGTACTATCTTAATTATATTTGAAATTTAATACCCGGCGATTAGGTATATCTGTATGTATGTGTGTGTTTGTGTGCACTAAGCAATTTGTAATTGCAAAGCCAGGAACAGACTGCTTTTGATCTACTAGTTTGGATTATTCCTTCTCTGTTCTATTTGTTCGAGTAAAATATGATTATAAGTAATTTACGTGTGATAATGTTAGGAAGGCTCTTCATTTAATTCAATCAAAAGAATATTTTATTCAGTATCACAAGTTTTGTGTCATAAAAACTCCGGGATTGTTTAAATAAAATTGAACCTCCCTCTCTCCTCATATCAGGTAAAATTCCCCCAGAGAGTACACTGATATTCAACATTGATCTCCTGGAGATTCGAAATGGACCAAGATCTCATGAATCATTCCAAGAAATGGATCTTAATGATGACTGGAAACTTTCTAAAGCTGAGGTGATCTTTCCTTCCTCATATTCCTTTCTTTCTTTGTTTCTTTCTTCTCACTTTTTAAAAAATATATTTTTAAGGAAAATTTATTTTTACTTGGGTAAAACATTATTTATAAATTTTCTTAAAATACTGATGCTTTGAATGTTGGCTTTTTTTTTTTTAATAGGAAATCCTTGTTTTGGTGAGAAATATATTGAGACTTAAGAAACATCATTCATTCCTTTGCCCCTGCCCCCCCTCACCCCCACCACGCTTAAGGTTCACTGTATCTTGTCCTCACCCTGAGTTTTTGAAAGATCCATTTTGCTAAGACAATTCCCATTTTGGAGTTGCTATATAAGAAACACAGATGTCCTAGGGCGCCTGGGTGGCTCAGTTGGTTAAGCAACTGCCTTCAGCTCAGGTCATGATTCTGGAGTCCCAGGATCAAGTCCGTGTCGGGCTCCCTGCTCAGCAGGGAGTCTGCTTCTCCCTCTGACCCTCCCCCCTCTCATGCTCTCTCTCTCTCTATCTTATTCTCTCTCTCAAATAAATAAATAAAATCTTAAAAAAAAAAAGAAAGAAAGAAACATAGATGTCCTGAGAAATATCTCAGGTTTCTGTTTAAAACTGTAAACTGTAAACTGTCTGTTAAATGCGCTTGTAATTTCCTAGCAATTAGCAGCAAACAACTCACATGCTGTTTTGTTCTGGTTCACACCTGGAGAAAGGAGACTCCAGGCTGGGTTTTCCAGAGCAGGAGAACTTTCACCCCTCTTAGTCCTGGTGTCTGAGTGAGGAGAAAGCAAGAAGTCTTTTCTCTATAATTTATTTAGGCTTTTGCAGCCATTTTTACCCATACCTGTCTTGGTCTGGTTGCTGTGGGGAAAGAAGTGGAGGTAGACATCTACTCTGTGTTTTTCTGTTTGTCCATGTTCTCCGTCCTCCCTTGGCTGGTCAGAAATCAAGTCCCTTTTTATGTTTTGATCGATTTCATTATAATGGCCAGGAAATGATTAAGTCTTAAATAAGTGCAGTTGTTATGAACTCACAGGGTCATTATCTACAGTTACTCAATTTATAACACCTCATAGTATTAGCAGTCATAGGACTTTATTCTGTTCAAGATAAATTTTAATTACCTTTCATGAAACAAAAATCTTAAATATACAACACATTCACATGGTTCAAAAAAAATCAATCCAGTTAAAAAAGGTGTTTAATAAGAAGTCTTTTTCCCACCCACATCCTCTTCTACTGTGTGATCTACCGCCTTCTGTATGCTGTTTTATTGGGTTCCAACGTACCCTTCCAGTGTTTCTTTATGCAAATACAAACAAATGTGAATACATTTTCCTATTTCCCCTTTTCTTAACAAAAAGTAGCATGATATACATAATATTTGGCATTTTGCTTTATTCACACAGTATATCCTAGAGATACATTCTATATTAATCCATTTAGCTTTAATCATCCTTTTTTTTTTAACAACTTCATTAAATCTCCTGAATCTTAAAAGTAAATGTATGTCATATGTTTGCATATTGATCATAAGGGGGGAAGGATTTGAAATTACTGATCTAACAGAAGGAGTACTAGAGATATGATTAAAAATGAAAATACAGGTTGAACTGCATTATGGTGAATCTAGTGGGCAATTAAGAGCAGCATTTTGTTTATATCTTTAAATGTCTGAACGAGAATGGAAAATTTCAGTCTAAGCACTCATTAGGCTGGATTTTGCTTTAATTTCTGAGATTGGAAGGTCATGAGGTATGATCATAGTCAGGTCCACGGCATGTACTATTACCAGACACTTACTTAAATTAAAAAATGCCGTTAGGGGAGGGGGGAGGCAGGTGGGGGATGGGTGAAATAAGTGAAGGGGATTAAGAGTACATTTACTATGATGAGCCGTGAGTAATATATAGAATTATTGAATCACTCACTATATTGTACATCTGAAACTAATATAACGCTGTATGTTATGCTGGATTTTTTTTTAAATAATAAAATTTTAAAAATTCTAAAATATAAGTTTAAAAAATGCCATCCTTTAATCTTATTTTAAGAGAAATATCTGGAATGCTGACCCTAGTTAGAAAATGAGATCTGGATAATTCAATGGAGTGAAAGACTACAGTCTTTCAAATGCTTGGCTTTATTTAGACTCAAATTAAGAATAGATAATATGCTTTCATTGGGTGTTTTTCAGATAATATAAGCCTTATCTTTGCCTCTGAGCAATATTCTGTGTCTCTACTATAGCAGTATAGCAACTGTTTTTAAGGGGAAAAAATTCCTTATAATTCTTTTACTGTCATTAAAATATATTATAGTTGTTTAGTCATTGTGCTATATAATCAAATGAACTACCAGTCCACTCTGTGATATTAACTGGCTTGATGTGGGTATCTTATGAATTAGAATCATTAATGAGACCCATTATTTTGTAGGTTAAAGTGTATTTAAAGAAGGAGTTTGAAAAGCATGGTGCAGTGGTGAATGAAAGTCATCATGATGTTTTGGTGGAGGATATTTTTGATAAAGAAGATGAAGACAAAGATGGATTTATATCTGCCAGAGAATTTACATATAAACATGATGAGTTATAGAGATACATGTTCCCATTTTATATGGCATGCATCCTTAAAGACAGGGCAACCATTTTTTAAAAAAGTCTTACTTTTAAATAATGTGCTGTTCTTGTTCTGTTTTTTATTTTTATATATTTTTCTGAATATTATTCGAAGAAGCCCTTAGGATTCCTAAATGCCCATTTCTTTCTGGTGAGTTATTGGGAAGAAAAAATTAATTTGTCTTTGAATAGAAGACTTCTGGACTATTTTCTGCTTTCACATATGAAGCCGTCTGTTTTACTTGTTTTACTTGTAATTTTAAAATATCGCAGCTGGGAGCATGTCCAACATAAGACCAGGTTATAGCACACATCAGCTCCCTCTATTTCTACTTCCCTCTATTTTCTCCAAGTTAGATACTGACATTTGTGCAATAGCCCAAGGCTTAAACAGTGTGTCTGTAACTGCTTTTGAGTCTGTTTAAGCAAAGAGGAAATGGTTGTTGAACTGGCCTTGTGAACAGACACTGCTCTACTGAGGAGATGTGCAATGCTGAAGTGAGTAACAGAGTTAATGACTTATAAATATGTATACATTGAAACCTTCTGCCCAGGACTTAAGGTGTATAAGGTTCCGTTCCTAGGGACTAATAACCTATAATGATTAATAGGACAAATTATTTATGTGTCTGGTTTTTTGTAATAAGGTGTCAAAATTTTGTAACTGAGAAACAGAGTGTATTTAGTCAGTGCTTACTTTTTAAGTCTAGCCAGTGACCCTTCCTGGTTTATTAATGAATAATATCTATAACTAGCGTATTATACTACAATAACATTGTATCATGAGCGAAACTTATAAGCCAATCAAAAATTTCCCATTTCTGCTTATCAAAATATGACACAGACCCACAGCAGCTACTGTTGCATAGAGATCTGTCCTGGGTTAAACAAAAATGGGTGATTTTATAATTTTACCTGAAATTGGCTTTTATCCTTATTACTTTGAAAAAGCCCCCAAATCTCCATTTATTAAGAAGAGTTCTTTATCATTCACAGAGTGATCTCAAGTACATCGTTGTCTTTGATTTTCATTGTTCTGAAGCCTATGAACAAGGCTGGTGGATCTTTAGTGTACCTATTTTATAGATGAGGAAATTATTCTTCAAAGAGATTGTTTTGCCCGAGGTCAACAGCTAATGTGTGCAACAAGATTGCAGTCCCCAAGTTCAGTATCTTAAATTGCCCTCCTTTGACTTCATTGGGCCTCATTCTGTCTTCAGTTTGTTCTAACAGTCAATGCTGTTTTTTGTCTTTGGGTCCTTATCCTTTGAAGATGGTTTACTGGCTGTTTTGGGTGCTTTTGAATTCTTCCTCAAAGTAGAAATGGCTCTGGTTTCATTGTTGGGGTTAGCACTGAATTGCCTCAAAAACCCTGTACTGTGAGAGGGTCCAGGGGTGTGTCTTAGTTCTTTCATTCTTGTTTACCTCTAGATTTTTTTGGTTTTTGGTTTTCTTTTTAGAGAATTACAAATAATTATTATATCATATACAGGCCATTTTCACTAGTTGTATATTGCATTTCCCTCACTAAAACATAAAGGTCTTGGGAAGAACGTATATAACACCTTTTCCTGATGAAGTCAGCTATATGTAGAAAACTCTTAAATTGTCACTGCTATTTTCCTCAACCTGGAGGACTTATGAACCACAATGCTGAAAGCCTTATGCTGTGTTCATTGGGAAAGAATGACCTCGTCATGTGGTGCTACTTTGTATAGACATTACTGTGATGCTTTCTCTGATTGAGCAGGAAAAGTCAAAAGAATTTTGATTATTTGGGCAGCATATTTCTTTTTTTTTTTTTTTTTAAGATTTTATTTATTTATATGACAGAGAGAGACAGCGAGAACAGGAACACAAGCAGGGGGAGTGGGAGAGGGAGAAGCAGGCTTCCCACGGAGCAGGGAGCCCGATGTGAGGCTTGATCCCAGGACCCTGGGATCATGACCTGAGCTGAAGGCAGACGCTTAACGACTGAGCCACCCAGGCACCCATATTTCTTTATCTCATGTGAATTTACGTCAATGCCCATCTAAATACTTAGACACAAGTATGAAATGAAAGTAAATAAATAAGTTATGATTGTTTTTAAGTATCTGCCTTTGGTTTAGCTGCAACTTTATGTCTTTCCATTCATGGGAATAATCAGACATGAATGGCGACCTCACTTGTAATATAATTTGACTCATTAATATTGCTAGATGTGTCCTATTTAAATTTATATGACTATGTTGTATTTTCAAAATAAACTTTATTTGGGGAATAATTGGTTTTGTGAAAAATTCTTCTTCAAGTGCCTGTTGCCTCAGCAGCTTTATTGATGTTCCTATTATTCTAGGTTTTATGTTGAAACTAGATGGGGAAGATGGACAAGTTGTTGTAGGAGAGGGGTATAGTGACACTTTGAATGTCCTTCTGATTATCTATCCTGTTTAGATGTATTTGGAAGGAAAGCTGTGGTTCCTTTTAAATTGTTTTGAAATAAGCATTAAATATTGAGCATTATGGGCAGTAGTTAATAGTGAATGTTTGGTACTGGAGAAAGTGTATGTGTTGGGTTTTGTTGGTTTGGTTTTGGTGGTAGTTATCACTATTGTTTTGGTTTGGGATTTTATTTTGTAAGAGGTGGACATTATCATGATTAATGCCCAGTGAGTAAATGAGCTCTATAAAACACCTTATCTAATTAAATGAAATGTTGGGTTGCCATTAAAATAACAAGAAACAATGAGTTCTGATTCAGATGGGGAATTAGCCATTTGAATCTTTACTTGTGGAAATGAATTTGTACTCATTTATGATTTATAGGATATTCTGTACATCTACAATGCTATTAGATATCAGCATGCTATCTATCTGTCCCCACTGAATTGAGTGTACGGATGATTTCTCAGTGTTGTTTGGAAATTGCAAGAGGAGAAAAAGGGACTTGGTGGAGTATTATGGGAAAAACTACGTCTCTCACCTTTTTATTAAAAAAATGAATTATCATTGTAATAGTCACCCTGGGAAAAATAACAAGGAACTTATTTTCAAGAGATGGAGAGCACTTGGTAATAAGGGTGTTTTGTTTAGTTTTTGTTTCTTACCCACTTTTGTTTGAATTGAAATCTAAAATGTCAGACATGATTATACATTCATATGCCCATTTGAAAACCTGAAAATTACAGTACTTCTGTCTCTTAATATCTGTAGCTTTCTTTTTAGTAAGATTTGCATATTCCCTTCAGTACAATGAAATCCATACATTCTTACATCTGGTTTTGGAGTCTTTATTGGAAGGTAAATTCTTTTATCTCTTTAAAATATTGTTTTGGGGATGCCTGGGTGACTCAGTTGGTTAAGCAGCTGCCTTTGGCTCGGGTCATGATCCCATGATCCTGGGATCGAGTCCCACATCGGGCTCCTTGCTCGGCAGGGAGCCTACCTCTACCTCCCCTGCTCCGCCTGCTGCTCCCCTGCTTGTGCTCTCTCTCTCTCTCTCTGACAGATAAAATCTTAAAAAAAAAAATTATTTTGCCTTGGGGCTCAGGGTGGCTTAAGTCAGACTTGATTTCCGCTCAGATCAAGATCTCTGGGTCGTGGGATCAAGCCGTGGGTCTTGGGGCTCCGTGCTCAGTGGGGAGTCTGCTTGAGATTCTCTCTCTCCCTCTTCCTCCCCACCCCCACCCTGTGCTCTCACTCTCTTGCTCTAAAATTAAAAAATCTTGAAAAAAAAAATAGTGTTTTGCCTTTGCTTTCAGCCCTGCCTCTTCTACCTCCAGCTCCAGGCTGACAGCAGAGAAAGACCCTTACAAATCTTGGTTTCATAGTTCCACCCTCAAATACAAGGAGAGGTATGCTTTGGTTCCTAAATGTTGCAGAAATGTAGCAGTCACTCAAATTTAGTGTACACCAGAATTGCATGGGATATGTGTTAAAAATGCAGATTCCTGAACCCTTTCCCCAGAGATTCTGATTAATTCTTGGATTGGGCCCAAGAATCTGAATTTTAACCCCCTTCCTGGATGATACTGATGCAGGTGGTCTAAGAATCTTAATTTGAGAGAAAATTAACTATTTCCCTGCCCTTGAATATACAGTCTCCTATATTTTTCTCTTACTAGTCTTTTTTTGTCTTCTGTAAAGTGTTGGTCATTGGGGCAACGAATTGTGCCTAAAACTGAATATACAGTCAAAAGGATAAGTTGTGTGGAGATAGTATTTTCCCTAGAGTTAGAAATTTTTTTATGACTCTGAATTCTTACAGCAAAAAGTTAGATCATCAGTAAATATGTTTTTGTGAACATCTTTCCTACTAGAAGAGAGAAGAGAGTCCCAGACTTTCCCAAAATTATTGTTCTATATTATTTTTTCAGAATTATCTATAGCCTATCCCTTGAGAGGAACATATGGTCAAGAAATTTAGGAGAAAATAGGGGCGACTGGGTGGCTCAGTCATTAAGCGTCTGCCTTCGGCTCAGGTCATGATCCCGGGGTCCTGGGATCGAGTCCCACATCGGGCTCCCTGCTCAATGGGAAGCCTGCTTCTCCTTCTCCCACTCCCCCTGCTTGTGTTCCCTCTCTCACTGTCTCTCTCTCTGTCAAATAAATAAATAAAATCTTTAAAAAAAGAAGAGATTTAGGAAAAAATAAAACTATTCTCCTAAAAACATAAATATATGTATATGTATGTATGTGTGTATAGTGTATAAACTACGTGCTGTGTATATACATACATAATGAATGAATTATATATGTATACATACATATGTGTGTATGTATATATGCAGTTTTGTATCGAAGATCGTCATTGACATGCTCTCTGTAGTACATCATTTCCCCTCTCTGAAGACTTATCTTTACCATGCAGTTAAACTTCCATTTGGTCAATTTAGAATCTTTCTGTACTTTGCCTACATTTCTATGTTTCACTTACAATTTAGGGAAAATTTCCTAGTAGCTCTCCATGTAAAACCAACAATAATTTTTTTAATCCCTTCAACTTTGGTTTACCAAGGAGATTAAGTGACTCATTTTGATATAGGTATTGTTATAGGTTATTGGTTATTGTTAAGGAAAAGAAACAGATACAAACATTTGGCAGAGTCAGGAGATCTGCAACACCTAGCACAGTCTCCATGGATTCTTTTGTTTACCAGTGCTCTGTGGTCCTGTACTGCTAATAGAACCTCTGGCATAAAATAGATGACTTCAGTGAGTGTGAGTCAGCCCATAATTTACAAAGCCAATCTAAGTGCCTAGGAGCTAGACTAACATTGATTTTATTTTATGATCTAAACACAAATTGCATGAGATGTTTGCTGAGGTTTTACTCTAAAAATCTAGAGTAAAGTGAATGCTGTCCCCTTGGTCTGTAGTAACAGCTAAATTATATCCCACTTGGGGATTTCTGGGAATTTACAAGTCATTTCTTTAATTTAAATTTCCACACGGCCATAGGATAAAAGTAATTTCCTTCCCAGTAAACAGTTGCAGTAGAGACAATGCCACACACGATGTGAACTGAGGCATTGAGGGACAGTTCTCATTACTATAAAGAATGAAGTGAGGGTAGGGAGACCCTTTAGACCTTAATTCCAATTTCGTAGAGCACTTTCTCATTCATTTGTTAGGCTTACTCTGCCAGAGTGTATCTTATGTTAATATAACTGATTATAATTTTACCTCCAGGCAGGAGACTAGGATATTATAACATTCAACCACATACTAGTGGTTTTTTTCCTATTATGATCATATCTCCTTGAATTGTTGAGCAGCTATTTTGTGCAGAACGCATTTTGCTTGAGACATTCTAGATTTTTTTTTTTTAAAGATTTTATTTATTTATTTGACAGAGAGAGACACAACGAGAGAGGGAACACAAGCAGGGGGAGTGGGAGAGGGAGAAGCAGGCTTCCCGCTGAGCAGGGAACCCGATGTGGGGCTCGATCCCAGGACCCTGGGATCATGACCTGAGCCGAAGGCAGATGCTTAATGACTGAGCCACCCAGGCACCCCGAGACATTCTAGATTTTTTTTAAGTAGCTCTTAAGTTAGGAGCTAAATTAAATTAAATGGGTAATATACTTGCGTAGAATAAGAAGAGGACTACCATAAATACAGGAAATTTTCTATAAAATAAGAAACATTTTACTTGCAGGAAAATAGGGAAGAAGAAAAAGGATCTTTCTATGAAATCCCCACTTGAATTGTCAAATTTCCCTGCAATATAATTGTTCTCTCCTGTTTTTCCCTGCATTGTTTTGGCTAAATTTTATAAGGTATATAATCTTTTACAAAATGTCACGTGCCTTTTTTTTCTTGCCACATGCATTAGTATTCAAGGTTTTCTGTTTTGTATCATAATTTTTAAGAAAATTAAGCAGTCTACTAAAGTTAATTGATTCTTACTGACATTATGACTGAACAGTAAATCAACTCTGCTCCTTGGATTCCTTTTCCCTAACATTTTATTACTACGGCAATAATTCTTCAAAAGTATTCACTCTTTATCATTGACCTATTTCTTCTAATCTGGGCAATGTCCAGTGGTTGTCTTTTTTTTTTTTTTTTTTTAGGTAGGGTACTTTTAAAAAATTAAATTAGTATGTAATACAATAATTATACAGTTCAATAAATTTTATTTTTATTTATTTATTTTTAAAGATTTTATTTATTTATTTGAGAGAGAGAATGAGAGAGAGAGAGCACATGAAAGGGGGGAGGGTCAGAGGGAGAAGCAGACTCCCTGCTGAGCAGGGAGTCCGATGCAGGACTCTATCCTGGGACTCCAGGATCATGACCTGAGCCGAAGGCAGTCACTTAAGCAGCTGAGCCACCCAGGCGCCCAGTTCAATAAATTTTAGTATACTCACAGAGTTATACAACCATCACAATTAATTTTACATATTTTTTTTAAGTAGGCTGCATGCCCAGTGTGGAGCCCAACTCAGGGCTTGAACTCAACAACCCTGAGATAAAGACCTGAGTTGAGATCAAGAGTTGGACACTTACCGACTGAGCCACCCAGGTGCCCCCATTACAATTTTAGAATATTTTTCTTATTGGGGTGCCTGGGTGGCTCAGTCGTTAAGCATCTGCCTTCTGCTCAGGTCATGATCCCAGGGTCCTGGGATCGAGCCCCACATCGGGCTCCCTGCTCTGCGGGAAGCCTGCTTCTCCCTCTCCCACTCCCCCTGCTTGTGTTCCCTCTCTTGCTGTGTTTCTCTGTCAAATAATAAATAAATCTTAAAAAACAAAACAAAACAAAAACATT